GATGCTATAAAATATACAAGAAGATGTTGTCTGCATAGGGTATGTATCGTTTCATTGACCCATGAGACCCCCTGGTTGGATAACTGCTCCTCAGTTCTCCCATGTGCAGCTGCTCAGGAAAGTTCTTGCTGTCCTTTCCTGTGATGCTCCACCCAAGGCTGTTGCTCTACAATTTCCCTCCGTAGGGCTGGCGAGGGAATGGAGGAGGAGATTATGGAAACGGGAGCATCTATCATTAGAAAAGATTGATTCTTAGCTTTTTCACTTCTACCCAAAGTGTTTCCCATGAGGGAATGTTGAACTAGAAATGACCCCATGGAATGACCTCATTTTATTTAAAAGAAATCACACATGTAGCCACCTGTATTACTCTCCTTCGTGTCTTAAATAATCTAGGATAGACATCTGTCCCCCAGCACACATATACATTATTTTTTTTTTTTCTGAATAAGGATTCCCTACAAGTCGCAACTGTCTCATTTCTACCCCAATACTGGGACGAGCGTCTGATGAGAGCTCATTTTTGTAAAATTATTAGAGTTAATTCCAAATAGTCATCTACATTGATATGAATCATAAAAAAACAGGCAGCAGGAGAGGTGTAACTTTTGAACAGGTAGTTATTGCTCTGGTCTCTGACCCCTCTCTAAAATGTCTTCAATTGTTACAACACGATTGTATTGAATCATATAAATAATCTTGTGTATACATTGTATTTCCCCGGTGATGCTGGGGTAAATTTTACTGCATAATTTGTTTTCCTAGCAACCTCAAATATAGAGTAATTATGTGTTAAATGCTTTCGCAGCAATGTTTATGAAATGTTTCCATACCATAATATTCCCAGCTGGAGACTGGAGCTACCGCTATCCCACATTTGAAAAGACCAGTTCCGGATGCAAGAGCCAGTGATGAAACATAACCACCGTAGGACTGTGGAGACATTGGTATGAGTTAGTCCCACATTTCCTTTCAGAAATTCTCCTCTATATTTTTACAGCAACTTTACTCACAATAAGTGCTGATGGGAGCTGGGGAACATGAATAGGGTAGGTTAAATGTCTACCTTACACCCTTGGCAGCAAGCCCCACCAGACGTGACTAATTTCATCCCTGGTAAATGACAAATACTTGGCATGTTGATCAGAACATGGTAGGAGCAGTTTAAAAGATATAATTGTAATTTTTCTGAAAACATTTCTTTTTCCCCCCTCTCTCTTCTATATTTTTCCAACCAGGGCTTTGCTACAGCAAAAACAGGATTTGACTTAAAAGAAATGCACCAAAAAAGATTATTCCCAAAATGTAAATGCAAGCTACTTCCAATAGTTTGCAAAAGTCCTGTGAGGCAGAGCTTGTGTCTGTGTATTTACTAATTTACATAACAGAACAACAAGGTAATGACATAAGAACCTTCTAGATTGTTTAAGACATGGCCAGGGTCTGTGTATAATGTCCTGTTACATATTCTGAATTAAGGATTTCTGGCAAGGCAGCTCAAAAAAGGGAAAGCCGTAGTGTTTTAAACATTTTTTACACACCCTCTCGCAAATATAACAGAAAAACAAAGAAATACACATGGAAATACAAAATTCAGAGTCAAGAGCAGGTTTAGCTTTCATCACTTTTCTTCCCTAAGATTCAATAGGTAATTCAGAAAAAGGACTCTAAGAACAGAAGGAGCTGTCTGTCCATGTCGCTCAGAAACATGAACCTTTTTCTAAAAAATGAAGAAAGAAGCAGAGCATCACCATAAGGTCACATCTCCCCCTAATCTGTATGCACCGCTGGGAGTGGCACTACTCCTGGGAACATGGATTAAGCAGTGTTCCTACACACACACACACACACACACACACACACCCCTAGATCAGGAAGCGAGTCTTGGTGCTATTCTTGCCCCAGTGCTGGGACATCCCCACAAGATGTAAGAGGACAGTGTAAGCCTCCAACTAAGGACGTACCACAAATATTATTAAAATATTATTACCACAAATTTCTGGAAATCATTCCCCTCAGGTCAGGAGAGATCCTACCACCTTTTGGTACAGAAAAGTCTGTCTTTAGAGAGAGTGAAAGAGTGAGAATGAGAACTCTACAGAGCAAGACAGATGGCCAGACGGACAGACAGACAGATAGACAAATGTGACAATGGCAGCAGGTAAGTGCCAGGGGCCTAATCTTAATCCACAAAACACATGAAATGGGGGAACAAGCTAATCAATCTTGCTGAATGCAATAGTTAAAGACAGAACTCTCTACCTAGTTTACAGTTTTATGTTTCCAGCTGCTGGGAGTTCTACTGAGACCCTTGACTCTGAAACACAGAATAAAAGAGGCAGTTCTGATTCTACCATGGGCTCTTTTTGTTCTACATGAGAAAAACTAAAACATGTTACAACAGGGAAAATATATTTTAAAAACAGGAGAAACACTTGGGCTGCAAAATCATTTTGGTAAGTGAAAATCACTACCAAGTTCAAGCTTTCACCTCTAATACCCAAATGTTTTGTTTTGATGAGTAGGTTAGCAACAAGTATTACTGAAACAGAAGATCTTTCCTTCCTTCTTAATTGTAGAGCAAGCTTAAGTTCATTGTTGCTTATGGTTTTATTGGGGAAGTGTGTTCACTGCAAATAACAAGGCTGGGTCCTGCCTCTCCTCGTCTCTGCTCCAGAACAGGAAATAGCATCTCATGAGATTGAAATTGAAAGCATTTGCATAGAGCAAAAGGTTTGTGAACATTGCTGTTCAAAACCTTAGAAATTCTTAATCTGCATCTACTCAGGGATTAGATAATAGTGCTGTATCTAAATAACATGTCCTTGTTTTCAGGATGAATACAAACTGTCTCTAAGAATGTGCAAGAACAAAACTATAGTGGCAGCACAACAAAAGAAGGTCTACTTTAAATTCTCAGGCAGCCTCGCTAAGCTGATTCCTCTGTACAAAGGAAGAGGGGGCAAAACACCAGAGTTAACTTTTTTCTGCTCTCCCATGGGTGGGGCTCCAAGGCAGAGTGGGTGGCTGCCACAAGAAAAGAGCCCACGGAGCAGATTGGCCATGAGAATTCTAGGAGTTTGTCCTTTGCACTTAGACGCTTTGCCATTTTGCTTAAATGAAGGATGTCTTTAAAACATTTTTAGAAGGGCACAGAATTTTTAGGGGTTTATGGAATATTCTTATGTGAACTATAATGCACATTGGAACATTTTCCTTACAGGAGATAACAATGAGCAAATGTGTGTATGGCCAACGTATTGCAAAGGTCTTTGTGGTCCCACACAATGTCTCCCTTTTCCCACCTCCCACCTCCCACCTCCCACCTCCGCCTTGCTCATCGCCCATCTTCATGTTCTTTGAACTCTCCAAACATGATCTAGCCCCAGGACTTTTGCAAATGATGCCACTCTCTGCCTAGAATACTCTTACCCCAGAAATCAGCATGGCTCACCTGTCCTACTAATCTAAAAACCAATCGACCCTGCACACCATGCTTCTTTCTTGATTTGTCTTTCCTCCAGCATGCTTAACATCATTTTAATAACCTAAATAGTTTACTTATTTATCTTGCTTATTGTATTTCAACCATTCCCAACTCCAGAAAGGTAGAGATTTTTATCTGTCTTGTTAATGAACATATCCCCAGCCCTGGGAATATGACCTAAAACACAGAAAGGATATATTGGTTTAATATATGACTTCCCTATTAATTCATCTAACCTTCCCAGTGGTGAAAAAATTATTGCTGAATTTCCTGATGAGGAAACTTGAGGCTCAGAGTCAACTTAGAGGAGATACATATTCAGTAAGCAGCAGAGCTGATATCAGCCCAGGACACCTGGCTCTCCAACCCAGGCCACTTCCTCTGCATCCCTACACTAGAGCAAATGCTGTGGGGAGCTTTAAGTTTAGAACCTAATGTAGTCTCATTAGAGGTGCATTCGTCCTACTTTTACATCGTTGATCACACATAGCAATTCAAATAGCTTATAATTAGTCACTGGAAGAGAAAGGAACTAAGATTAAATCATGCACTAATGCTTATTCAACACCACCTGGCTAGGCCTATATTAACAAAGCAAATCCCATAAATGAGGTTGTTATTCTAATAATTTAGGCAAACCCCCCACTGTTCTTCAAATCATCAGAAAATAATTGCTCCAAGTTTTGTTCCATAAACCAGGGTTTTGCAACCTCAGTGCTGTTGACACTTGGGGCTGGACAGATCTTTTTTTGTGGGATCTGTCTGTGTATTGTGGGATAGTTAACAGCATCCGTGGTGTCTCTTCACTAGATGCCAGTAGTACCACCCCAGTTGTAACAACCAAAATCTCTCCAGACAGTGACAGATGTCATCTGAGGGACAAAACTGCCCAGTTAAACACCTCTGTCACAATAGGCACTTCCTAGGCACAGTACTGAGGGCATAGTGGATAATTCGTAGTTAAAAACAGGACTGGACTTTGGTTTGTGTGAGCCAGAAAAAAATGAAAGGGTAAGATAAAAATTCCTCCTCTCCTCTTCTTAATCTGGATAAGAGAAGGAAATAGGATTCGCAGCTTATTGACCAATTGACTTCAAAAAATGTTGTGTGGTTAGCTATAGTACATTTCTCAGACCGTTAACATGCCTAACACTTTGTGAAATCAGAGAGTTCTTTCCCAAAGATGGAACACAATAATAGCCAAATAACCCTCATGGTCATTCTCAGTGTCTTCCTCTCTAATTTCCCATACCATAGAAGAGCACTCAGAGCTATGACCTCTTCACATGCCCTACTTCGCTGCCTAAATTCAGGCCCTTGGTATTGGTTGCCAGTATTACTTGTTGCCTCACTCCTTAGCCCACTCCCTCCCTGCACCACAGACCATTCTTTACTTTGTAGCCAGAATCTTTCTGATACACCAATTCCACCCTCTACTGAGTTCCAGAGCACTTCTCAAATAAATACTTTTTGGTAATACTGTATTACACAAAATTTAACAGCATGTTTTTATATATTTTAAATATATTTTTATTGATTTCAGAGAGGAAGGAGGAGAGATAGAGAGATAGAAACATCAATAATGAAAGAGAATCATTCATTGGCTGCCTCCTGCACACCCCCTACTGGGGATTGACCCCACAACCCAGGCATGTGCCTCTGACTGGAATTGAACCTGGGATCCTTCAGTCTGCAGGCCGAGGCTCTATCCATGGAGCCAAACCGGTGAGGGCTAACAGGATTCTTTACTATTCTTTTCCTAAAGTCTATAGGCTCTATTATTTAGAATTTATGATTTATCAAATTATCAGACCAGAGGACCTTTTCTTGAAAAGTTTCTTGTCACTAATAGAACACATTTGAGGAAACATTGACTTATAAGGTTAAATTCAGTATAAACAACATCATTGATGTGTGACATGGTCAAGCATTGTGCTAAGCATTTGAAAAACAAAGCTAAATAAAAGATAAAGTCTATTCCCTTGATGAGCTTACATTCTTACGGGAAAAACCAAGAGACAGACAAAACATTGTAATTCCTATAAGAACAGTATAAAGATCTATTGGAGCACAAAACATGTCATATGTGAGTTAAGTCTTAAAGAAAAAGTCAGAATTATCCATTGTGGGTTGAGGAATAGATGGGGAATAGAAGAAAAGAGTGGACAGGTATAGGGAACAAAACGAACAAAATCACTGGAACTAGGAAAAACAGACATAAATCAAACTATTAAACAGGTGCAGGGAAAAGTGAAGAGAGATGAGACTGGAAAATTAGGCTGTAACCAGTTTATCAAGGGCCTCGCATGCAAGGAAATATGTTTGGGCACTAGAGTGAGGTCAATGTAATAGAGTGAACTCTATGAAATATATAAGCAGAAAAGCAACTTGTTAAGAGTTGTGCTTTGTAACAATAACCTCATTAGAAATATTGAAGCTTATGAGT